GTTGGACAGACAAACATACAATAAATAATAAGTCAGCAGATCTCAAATCGATGCGCCGATGCGACGATACCATCGCGGACAGATGGAAGATGCAATTGACGCTGGCGGCAACACTAATTAGCATTTAAAAGTGAGCGAGCAGAAACTTTTGCGGCGGCAGAAGAGTTCAAGTAGCAACATTTTCAATTGAAGTGAACATTTCGAGTCGTTGGACAGACAAACATACAATAAATAATAAGTCAGCAGATCTCAAATCGATGCGACGATACCATCGCGGACAGATGGAAGATGCAATTGACGCTGGCGGCAACACTAATTAGCATTTAAAAGTGAGCGAGCAGCAACTTTTGCGGCGGCAGAAGAGTTCAAGTAGCAACATTTTCAATTGAAGTGAACATTTCGAGTCGTTGGACAGACAAACATACAATAAATAATAAGTCAGCAGATCTCAAATCGATGCGCCGATGCGACGATACCATCGCGGACAGATGGAAGATGCAATTGACGCTGGCGGCAACATACAACACGCCAGCAACATGCAATGCCCCAACTGAAGCAACACCAAAAATGTCAAATGTAAAAACGGCGAAACCGTTCAGTTTCAGTCTGCTGCAAAAACGAAGAAAACGCAAACAGCTTAAACAGAAATTGCATTCAACAATAAAAAATTTGCACGCTGCCGTTTGCCTAACAAGCAGGAAGTGTTGCTGGGCAGACTGGAGATGGAAAACCGAAGAGCCGGGCGGGGAAGAGGATGAGGAGATGCCGCCGGTAAAAACCAGCGACAATGGATGCAGGAAGCAACAACTGTCGTCGTCGTCGCCGACTTCCTACCCATCATCCGCCTTGCGGACCCCGAAAAACCTCCCACTTCCCAGCGATGCTCCCATATTTTTACCCATTGCGTGAGCTTTATCTTTCAGTGTCAACCTGAAAACACTGCATCTTGGCATCTTTTATGCAACTCCCCCTCTGTTTACCACCCACTGAGGCGTCAGCATTGCGAATAAAGTTCAAGTCATTCAAATCGCAGAAATGTTGAGATGCCTGAGTAAACAAATTTTCCCCCTTGCTTATTATGTTTACACAGGGGCGGTAAATGATGTGTAAATACCACGAATTTCGTATTACCTTTACATCAAAATTTAATAGTTATTCAATTATTCGAACAGTAAGTAATTGAATTTTTAATGATACAATAATTTATGGATAAAAATGTATATTTATATAAAAAAAAACTTTATAAACTTGTACACTTATTCCCTAGCATAATGTGTTTACACAGAGGCATTATGTAAACACAGCGAATTTCGTACTACCTTTACTTTTACCTTTGTCCAGATTATTTTTGCAGCATTTTACGAATTTTTATTGTTAAAATAATTACTGTTTTTATTGGGGGAGTATCATTTCTATTTTAATTTAAAATCAAATTTGCAAACTTTTATTTTTACGTACATACGTATTACGTACATCGAAGTTTAAATAAAACTTTAAAAGGCTTTAAAAATTTGTTGTATTTTTTTTGCAAAACTTTTAAGAGCTTATGCCCCAATATAACTAACTGAGTTAAGCACTTCAATGTACTAAATTGCATCCAGTTGACTTTACTCCACTTTAAATGCTTTTTATCGTCCCCAAGGCATTGTGCCCCCCATTGACTGTTTGGCAGCCTCTGTCGACCAGCCGCTGAACGCTGTTGCCGCTTATTTTTAGCCGCATTGTTGAGCGTGAGATTTATCGCCAGCTGCGGTTTCTTTCTGGCGATCGGCGCGCTTTTGGCACTTTTTCCCAGCAGGCATTCGGAAGTTCAATGAAAACCGTTTAAATGGTAAAGGAAAAATTTGTGCCAAATATTTAAGCCAGCGTATGCTCTAAGCCATGATGAGCGATTTGCATATTACAAAAATACAAGCATTTGTATTTTAAAGTTTAAATTTGGGTTGGGTTTTTTTTGCAGCCAATTACATTTTGACATACTAAATTTGCTCCAAGAGTTTCAATATTTTAAAGCTTTATTTCATTAATATCATTGCAGTCTTTGTTTTTTTTAGAAATTCATTTTAAAAAATTATTTTTGTTTTAAAAGTAATTGTAAAAATATTTCAAACATTTTTTAAAAATTAATTTTTTGCTAACTGGGTTAAAATACAAAATATACAGGGTTGTTAAAGCTAAAGAATTAAACTATCGGTCTCCATTACCTTTTGTAAAATATACTTGCATCATTTCTTGGACCAATATACCAATTTAAATTTATGCAATGCGAAAGTCAAGTCTTTACCTTTTCAAGGCGACCACTTTTTGGGGACTCGGATGTGAACTCGAACTTGGATTCCAGCTCCGATTTGCATTCCCATCCATCTACTGACATTCGGAGGCAGCGGAGGTGCAGATTGAACAGCCACTGATTGCTCCTTGGTGGAGGGTGCTGTTGGCCAGGCTTTTATTTCGGTTCAAATCGGCTCTTTTGGCTTGCAATTCGATTTCGTTTCCCAGACCGAGCAATTTATTGCAGCCGCAAGTTTGTCAATACACGAAAAATCGCTCGACGCTCGTTAGCCAAGACAGTGTTTGCATATGGCATTCGGTGGCTCTTGCTCCTGACTCAACTTGGCCCGAAGCTGCAACTTGGTCTTTGGTTACACAACCACCGAGACCGATTCAAGGTGAAATCGCAATAGGAAACACAGTGCTCGGCTGACAGCTGACTGCAGTTGCGTTTTAATTTTTATTATTATTATTCCTAAGAGCGCGATCATCAGCGAGTGTGAGTCGACATCCCCATGCATCAAAAGGCGGAGTTGCGTTTCCCCCCACCAGGTGGTAATTATCTACACCCAATCCGCAAAGTCGTTTGTCAAGTGGGTTTTATGAATTGCCGTGATTCATAAGCACTCAAATTTAATTGCCAGGATTGGAGAAATGCTCATGCCATTAGCTAAAAAAAATGAGTAATGGAATGGGCTCGGAAACAGTGTCAAACAAAACTGCGATGTGTCAAAGAGTGAAATACATTTATTGATTTTTGAGGGGAGAGGTGTTTGTGCCATTAAACGGTTAATGAAATGTTTATGCCAACTACTGTATTTTTCTTTTGTTTATTCGGGGGTAAATCTATCCCGCAGGGATTATTTGCTTCTTCTGAAGGTATTTTTATTTATTTTTTAATGAATGTAAATATGTATGATTATTTTTGTTCGTTTGCCATTCTCTCTTGAACTTCTAAAAAAAAAGCCGCCACAAAACAATTTTAATCGCATCGAATTGCACTGTGACAAGTACAATAAAATTGCTGACCCCAAAATTGGCATCTAATTGAATAACTGTTTATTCGATTTTCGGTCTCTGTCACCTTTCTCCGCTTTGTATTCGGTTCATTGAACGTTAAGTTGGTTCGATCTGCCGGACCACTTCATTAAACTTAACACATTTAGCCGACTGAATACAAAAAGTGGAAGTGAAATAAGACAGCATTGATGACAATTACGTACAAACATAAAATTTGGCTTTTAAGTCTGGCCATTTAACACGATTTTTATTTTGTTTACAGTGACATCAAAACGTTTTATGCAACACATCAATTCTATAAGCTTCAGCTTGGTAATAAAGTAATCAAAATAGCAAAATACTACTATTTATTTGTAAATTAAATGGCAGTTAGAAAAACCGTGGAGTTATTCGTTTGCAAAAGGACAGCTTGAATGCTAACATTTTTTATTCTTTTTAATAATTTGCATTTTATTTTGCCAGTTTTGGAAGACAACTTAATTATTGGCACGACTAAATCGTTGATTCTAAAATAATAATTTGTATTATTACATCACAATATTTATTGGGAAAATGTATATTTCAGCAGACATATAATATAACACAAAATTATGAGGTGTGAAATATGCAATGCTCAACCAAAATTTTGTAACCCAACATTAGGACCCATTCTCATTATCGTTTCAAAATAAAAATTCCTCTCATGAGCTAACATTATTTGTGATTTATTAGCCGTGTCTATAACATCAAGGATGTCTTGCGGTAAATGCCATCCCGCCTGGCAATTACTTTCGCACACCAGGCACGACCAACCCAGTTTTATGATTATCTGTGCGGAGAATCTCGGGATCGTAGGCCTCGCACAGTGGCACACTTATACACACTGCCGTCGGTCGCAATCACAATCGCACTCACTCAGTCATCCGTCATGGCACGTATTCGCATTTGTCATACGCGGGGTAGGGAAATTTAGCCCCTCGAAATAAAACACAATGCCAGCCCAGAGATCCAGAGATCCACAGACACCAGCGAAGACCTCAAATTATTCGAAATTACCATTGTCAGCCGTGGAGAGTCTCCGAGTATCGGGAGTTTTCTTTCCATTTTCACTTTCGTTGAGAGCGTGTGCAGAAATTTTCAGACCCAGACCCCAGGAAAGCCACCGCTCGCCAGGCCAGCTGACGCTCAAGTGCGGGATCGGTCTTAACCCAGCAGCAACAGCAGCAGCGGCGGCAGCAGCGGTTTTTAGCCCAGCAGCGTTGAGAGCGAAAGTGCACGACACTGGGTCTCGACTTGGCCAAAAAAAACAAAAATACCCTGGCCAAAAAGAGCGGCAGAGAGAGCTCTCCAGCACATCCGACAGCGGGAAATCGGCGGTGCTGTAATAAGTTGATTGTGCGGTAATTTCGGTTTCACTTGCCATCCCACACAGACAGACGTTAACCCCACAGATACAGATACGGCCAGAGCCAGAGCCGTGGATACAGATACTTTTGCAGACAGCGACACAGACAGATGGCCAAGACAGCGCCTCATTATTGGCCTGCTCGCCACGCATGCGCAGTGCCCAGAAAGCAAAGTCGCATCATCATCATCATCACCAAGACCGAAACCCAAACCGAAACAGAGACCCTCTCGCAGATACAACTGCCGTGCATTTGTAGTGGTGCCGTGCATCTGGCTGGATTTTTTGTATAAATTGGTGATGCGGCTGCAGTGGTTCGTCAGTGAAGCATTTGATTTGGTCTAATAAACAGCAGCCGAGTGCAATCCGAGGATATAGCAACGTGAGAGCCATCCCAGCACAGTCCATCCGACAACCGTATATCTAAATCGTTTTTCTTCTGTTTTCCCAAACATATCACACCGAAACACCCACAGACCGAGGATTACTGTGAGAAAGTGCCAAGTGCTAAAGTGCGTTGTGAAAAAGAGAGCCGTGTGAACCGCATCCGCATCTAGTATCCATTACCCATACGCACCGTTAACCCGTGATTGCGCAGCCATGAAAGCCTTCATCCTAATGTCCTGTCTGGCGCTGGCCGCCGCTCGTCCTGAAGCGGGCTACAACTACAACCGTCCTGGTGGCAGCGGCGGCTCCGGCGGCGGCTCCCATGGCGGTGGTCTGGGCGGTGGCCTGGGCGGGGAATTCGGCGGTGGCTCCAGCGGAGGATTCGGCGGTAGCTCCGGCGGCGGATTCGGAGGCGGTGGCTTCGGCGGCGGCAGCAGCGGCGGAGGCGGAGGCTTCAGCAGCGGCGGAGGCGGTGGCTTCTCCAGCGGCGGTGGTGGAGGCTTCGGAGGTGGATTCGGAGGCGGCTCCGGCGGCGGCGGTGGCGGCGGATTTGGCGGCGGTACGTGACTCCCAGGCCACAGATTTCTGCAGAAAGTAATTCCAAATTCTATCCACAGGCGGCAGCATTGGCGGTTTCGGAGGCGGCGGCGGCGGTGGTGGAACTACCCTGGTGCAGAAGCACATCTACGTCCATGTTCCGCCACCAGAGCAGGAGGAGGTGCGCCAGCGCCCCAATCTGCCCATTGGCCAGTCCCAGAAGCACTATAAGATCATCTTCATCAAGGCCCCATCGCCACCCTCGTACCAGGCTCCGGTCATTCCCCTGCAGCCACAGAACGAGGAGAAGACTCTGGTCTACGTGCTGGTGAAGAAGCCCGAGGATCAGCAGGACATCGTCATTCCCACGCCCGCACCCACGCAGCCCTCGAAGCCGGAGGTGTACTTCATCAAGTACAAGACCCAGAAGGACTCGAGCGGCATTTCTGGAGGAAACTCTGGCTCCAACTTTGGCAGCAGCTTTGCCACCGGAGGAGATTCTGGCTTCGCTGGCGGCGACAGTGGCTCCGTCTCAGCCCCGTCCAGCAACTACGGACCCCCTGGAAAGTCTGGACCCTACTAAGTGATTTCAATCCATCGATAACTCAAAATTGCGAACTTCGAACTCGGCTCAAGCTGCTGACTAGTCCTGTCGTTGACACGCCCCTATTTCTCACTCGAGAACCACATCATCCACATCACATTTACCACCACCACACGATCTTCGACCACCATGTGTCCCTTACTTATCTCAGACTATCATCTCCTTAGAGCGGGCGGCGCTTTCGCCCACGACTTTTGTACATAATACGTTTCCAAATTTCATTTCTACTCACTCTGTCCTTCCATCTTTCACATCTGTACATTTTCCCCCACAACTGATTAGAGTCTAACCTTCGGCACTGCCTGGAAATTCTATTAGCTAATAGGCGACAAGGGCGGGTTCCTTGGATGGGAACCTCGCTTGGCGTCCGGAAGAGCGAATGATGATGATGATGATTAGCGGAAGATGATTTAGCGGGGCTTGACATGCTCCATACATATAAATATATATTAATTATACTAGGTTTAAGTACTTTATGCTCAAATAAAAAAAACAACGGTGACAAAATTACGAAAAAAAACTAAACGATATTTTTATTTCACACATTCTTAACAAGATGGTAGCAGTCAAACAGAAAAACGGATTGGCCTTCATCCTTTTCCGCTTCTCTCGTTTTTCCGACCATTGGCCCTAACCTAATTATGCTCGTCAAAAAGGAAGTTCAACCAATTAGCCCTTGCCCTGGGATTTGTGAACTAATTAAAAAGTAATTTCTTGCCATTATTCGCATAGCTTCTGTATCCTTTTATGTAGTTTCACGCATTTTTGTGGCTTGTTAGTTTAAAAGGACAGCAGCTGACCAGCAATTCGGGCCCTAATAATTAATTTTAATAGTATTTTGCCAAGTTTCCATTTAAACTTTTATCTAAATCGCTCAGGGAGCTGTGGTAAAACTTTTAGTGGCTCCGTTTGCACAATTGCTGAAAGTTAGTCTTTTATCTTATTCCCAACTTCTAAAGAAAGCCTTTCTGCTCTTTCTCCTTTAGCTCGTTAATGACAAACTGTTGCTCTCGTTTTTTCCCTGTCATTAACAACAGCATTTGAAACACTACAATCTGGCTTTGCTTTAATTTTTTGTGTGTTCATTTCTTATTTCGTTTTATTTTGCTACAATGCACTATGGGGTTTTTGACCACTTTATGTGGCATTTAGTCATTTTTTAAAAGTGCTCTAATTAAAAAAAAAAAAATGGGAATGCATTAACAGAACATCAAACTGTTATGCCTCATACTCAAAATGTTAATACTTAACAGCATATGTTAGCATAACAGCTGTAAAGTCAGCTGTTGCATGCGAAAGTACCAGCGCTAAGTTTGCAATTTTTCAAGGCGTTCTTTGAAATTAATTTATTCGTGTAAAACACCATTTGAAAAGAAAAAAACAAATGTAAACTGATCTCACAGGCTTGTACTATATGTTAAATGTATTAATTGTTTAAATTATGCGTGTTTATACTAATATTTTGTCACTTTATAAATGCACCTTAAGCTGAATTTTGAGGAACAAATTTCAACTTTGGGAAGAGTTTTAAAATAGAAGTTTGCATTAGTTTTCAATGCGTCCAAGTGTATGTTGTAGCCTTGTCAATTCTGAGCAAAAATATGTTAGTCTTATTGTGCACTTTTCCGCACTATTGGTGCAATTTGAATTTTTCTTAGATAACCTCACTTTCTCCAACGCCGACTTGGTTGCTGTTTGGAATAGCGGAAAGGGCCGGCTTGAGCAAGAAAAGGCTATACAATGTTTGATGAACAAATTATTTATAATATGAGGATCATTTTTAAATGTTTGTCCTGTCAGTTGCCCGTTAATTTGGACAAATTCGAATCATTTTGCCGACAAACTGGCGAATTGTTAGTCGATATGTATCCGTGGCTGCCGATGAGTTTTGAGTTTGACGAATTTTTTCTTTTTGCTTTTGTTGCACCTATTATCATCATCTTTTATAGGCATGGACCAACAAATTTCAGCTCTTTAAATTTCATTAATTTTTTTTTAGTTTTAACCGATCGTTCCTATGGGAGCTATAGGATATTGTTTCCTGATCCAAACGATTTTCACACTATATGTGCCTAGGGACAAATAATGACGATTGGTAAAGTTTCATGTCGACATCTCCAAAACTGACCGAGTTATTAATTAATGCCACAAAAACAGGTCAAAAACCCCATAGTGCAATGTTTTAATGCTTTAAGTATACAGACAGCATTGGCATTGTCATTGCCGCCCTTCTTCTTCTTCTTCCTCTCATTTTCACCCAACTTTGGCACTTTCACTTCTCCGCAATTTTTGCTGTTTTGGCTGCTGTTACCTTTAACCCATATCCGCACACTGCCTTATTAAAATACTAATTAAGATGAATTTCAAATTTTAGGAAAGTTTTTCTTGCGTTTACTTAGAGGTACTTTAAAAATATACACTCAAGGGAAAATATATAATAAGTCTGCGTTATAAAATAAATATTTATAATTTTGGGAATCCAGATTGTTAAGTAAAATTTCACTATTTAAGTTTTTTAAATTTGTTTAAGCTTTAAGCAGCTTCTGAAAAAACCTATCTCCTAAAACTGATTTTAATAATATAAAGTAGCAAATGTATTGAAATAGTGACGTTTTCATGACTAAGTCGCATTAAAATACAACAATATGGCAAATGGGCAAAAAAGGGTTAAGCAGCAGCTGTTGTCTATCTTTTAGCGGGTTCAGTTCAATTTGGAGTGTGCCGCTGCCTTTGTTCCCAGCCTCATATTTCACTGGCATATGCTTCGCTTCCGCCTGTCTGGGCCAAAAAATGAACCACTGCTGTTGTTTTTGCCATGGCTATAGCTTTAGCTTTAGTTTTTGTCCGCGCAATCAATGGCAATCCGTCATACCAATCTCTGCCCTGCGGTCCAATGGCTCGAATTCAGTCGAGCCCCTCAAAAACTTTATTTGTTTTTTGAAAAGCTACCGAATGTGAACCCGAAGCCTTTTCCAATTAAAAAAAATTCATTTCAACAATGAATTTTATTGAAAATGAAACTGTTAATATATAATTCAAATAATTAACACTCATAGTTACAAACTGTACACAAAAGTTAAAATTGTGACATTCCAATTAAACATAAAATTCATTCTGTATATATTTTTATACCCGTTACTCGTAGAGTAAAAAGGTATATTATATTCGTGCAAAAGTATGTAACAGGAAGGAAGCGTTTCCGACCCTATAAAGTATATATATTCTTGATCAGGGTCACTAGCCGAGTCGATATAGCCATGTCCGTCTGTCTGTCCGTATGAACGCTGAGATCTCAGAAACTATAAAAGCTAGAAGATTGGCATTTTGCATGCAGATTCTAGGAGTTCCTACGCAGCGCAAGTTTGTTTTAAAAAGGTGCCACGCCCCCTTTAACGCCCACAATCGCTTAAATACGATTACGAAAATTTAAATATTTCGGAAAAGTAAAAATGCAGTTTTATTGTGTTTATCAATACCTATCGAAATGTAGAAGAAATTGTTCAAATCGGACCATTCGTTAAAAAGTTATGCGTGATCAAAGTTTCTATCTCCATCTCCCTCGCACTCCCTTTACCTGAGTAACGGGTATCTGATAGTCGGGGCACCCGACTATAGCGTTCTCTCTTGTTTTAAATGTAAAGTTTTGTTTACTAAATTAAAGAGTGCAATTCATCTTATTATAATTCATCATGACAGTTCTTTAGTATGTCAAATTAAATATGTTCGCCTTGTCAACTTCAGGCGTCCTAAATTGCAGAAAAGTAATATCATTGATGCACGCCGTCCGTGCACTAGTAGCCTTCAATTGACCAGGATATTCCTGACTGGTTAGTAAAATTTCCGTGTTGTCCGCTCGGCCAATTGGCCAAAACAGGAACAAACCGTACCACAAAACGCCCAATGCCGGATTTTGCATGTGGAAAAATTCCGTTGGCAGCAAGGGAGGTGAATGGGCCAATAAGGCAAACATAGTCCGCCCGCAAACCGAACACGCCAACTTGCAGTTGGGCAATTTGAAAAGTTTCTAAGACCACAACATTGTCGCAAATGGATGCACACTCATCCCAAAAGTTCTCTGTCAGTTTCAGTTTCCTGTTTCGCTTCAGGATTCGACCAGCAAATTCCTCCTTTGCTTTTTTAAACTCAGCTTGGGATTAGGTCCAATAGTTTGCATACAACTCAGTTGCAGAATAATCCATGAAAATAACTAGGATACTTGGATCAAGGAGACGAAACACAAGTATGTATGTATACAGCTTTTGTGTCATCCTGGCTAAGAAACAGTTTTTTTTTGGCAATTTGTTGCCTTGTCAAGTTATTCGCTTTTTAAAACAACAGAATTTACAAAAATTCAAAAAATAAATTATAAATATTCTAGATAAGCTGTAATTATAATTAATGACTTCAAAAGCATTTATTGCTACACTTTACTTTTGGAGCAGCGAGAAATACAAATCATAATAAAAATAATAAAAATGAATGAGCTGGCGACAGACCCAAAAATCCCCAGGCGAAAAAAAGATATAAAATTCAATTTGCTGTAGGGTGCAGGTAGAACATAATAAGATTTGTGTCGAAGAGTATATTTTTTGTATCATATTCACAAAAAATATATTTGCTGTGGCATAACCGAAACATTTTTATGACCTTTATTTTGTACTATGTGGGCGTTTTGTTTTCCTTTTTTTTCTGTGAGAGTTTTCCCGCCTGCCCGGTGCCACGCCCACAATAAATCGCACCGAAACTTCCGCGAGGTTAATGGAGAAAAGGAGGCAACAACTGGAATGGGTTTAGGGTCGCACTTTCGGTTTGCCCGTTTAATTGACAGCTCTGAAAAGTTTATGACACTTTGGGTGCTTTAATTAATTGTGCGTATTTCTTAGTCGCTCGCTTCCTGCCACGCCCCCCAAAGAAACGGAGGCTTTGGGTTAATTATAATGTATGTAGGCCGTTAATGTAAAAGTCGGCTTACTTAGGCAGAAAAATACACACAACTTGAAAAACTCCTAGCAGGGGATTCGTCAAAACCTGTCAAAACATTCTTAGCTTTAAGTTTAGTCGCTTTTTATGATCCAAAATGGCTTATAAATAAGCTTCCTGGAATGTTTCCTGAGGACAAAATTACTTAGAAACTGGTTTCCTTTTTTTGGCTGTGAATGTACGACGAAGCTTTGTTCTGGGGATCATAAATTTATAAATAAAATTGCGGCAAACAAAACATCCGTGTTCACTCCTCCCATTTCTACTCGTATTTTGGATTCTCTTTAATTTGTTTATTTTTGATGACTTTTAGACTTTAACTTATACTGGTAGTTAATGAGTTGTTTTGTTCAGTTTATTAATGTTTGCTACCTAAGGGATGTACTTTTATTTTGGAGAGCTCCGAAATGTTGAGACGGTCGAATTTAAGATTTTCTTACACTATTATTGAAAACAATATTCCGGTGCTAAATATAAATTGCCAGTTTTCATTAAAATCGCCAATTAGCCAAGGTTTTTTGAAACATTTAATTTACAAATGTTAACAAAACCAAAAAAATGTGCTTAAAAAGTGTACAAATTTACATTATTTGTGCCACAAACTTTGGCTGTAAATTGCTGTATAAATTAGTTGCTGATTAGTTTGGCTGCTCGCCGAGCGAATTGTTTAATGACCGTTTGATTTTGGCCATTTCATGGATAACAACTTAAGACTTGGGTGCGCACCTCAGATGATTTTCTGGTTGTGGCTTTTAAAGTACCAAAAATATATTTTCTTGGGCCTGGCACTTTCGCCTTTGTTTTGCAATTAAAAGTGGGTTCAATTACCACAGTCTCAGACGTGCGGGGTGTCCAGGTTTCAGTTGTTATTACCTGAAATTGGTGAAGATAACTTGGGGCACGAGCTAAACGATAAGTGAAATGGATTGATTAATGATGGTAAGCTTTGTAATTGCGGAGATTGGACCCCTGGTTGATCTAGTTCCCAGTGTTGTTATAATTCAATTTTTAGCATTCCTACTCCTACGCAAAAAAGATACTTTCGGTGTGCTGCTTTCTGGACAAAATGTAGCTTTCTATTTCCTGCGAACTGTTTTTGTTTATTCGCTATTCACTTTCAATGACATTAAACTAAGCAGATGGAAAAAAACACAATATAATAAAAATTACTTTCCCAAAAAACTGCAATCAAATCAGTTAATGCGCTTACCGCGCCTTTTCGTTGGTTGTTAATTGAAGAGGTGTTTTTTCTTGGTAAAAACTTTAATACACTACGGAAGTAATTTAAATGTGGAGAAATTTAAAATAAACACGCGATTTAAAGTGTTTGTAGGTTGGTAGGTGTTTTTTGTTTGTACAAAATATTCCTTTTAAGATCTTTTGTTAGTGAGATCCCTGTAATTAAGTATTATTATTCAGTACAAAGTTATTGAAAGGCTTTTCGGTGTTGATATTCTACCCCTGATTAAATATCCTGTACTTAAAAAGCAATCAACTGGCCAGACCCCTCCCACATTAATTAAAGAAACTAAAAGGCAAACAACTTGTCCTTGAAATAAGAACCATTTGCCTCCTACGGACGTGTCGAGAAATTTAATTAGTGAGTTAATGGGGAAATAGAACTGGAGAACGCTTCGCACCTCATTATGAACAGCCTTTCTATTCCAATCGAAGTGGAGCCCTCATTTTCGGCTTTCATTGAAGCGGACTCGGCGAATACAAGCTCATTTGTCAGTCTAAGACTTTGATGGCCCAGTTCCTAATGTTGCCCCTTCGTTTTTTGTGGGTGTGGGCTTGAGCGGGTCCGAAATCACTTTGATGAATTACAACACGGCTGTACTGAGCCTCGAACATGAGCTCATTTTTTATGTAACCCCCGACGCGGCATTAAATTTGATGGGCGGATTCAACCGTAACCGGTTCAAAACCAAAACAAATCACCGAAAAAGCCAAGTGCCTTGTGATTGCAGCTAATGCCGGCAGCCTCCGCAGCCGGCAATTAAGTCGTGAGACTGTCACGTTGAGGTGGCCAAAACAAACTGCCAAAATAAAGATGAAACTAGAGCCGCGGGCGCAAATTTTTCATGCCGGCACATATGACATTTGGTAAAAGAGTCTGCACTTCAGTGGGCCTAGTTGGCACCAAGATTCCTCCTTCGCCAAATGACGATGCAGTTTCCCCCCACAGTCGCTAAATGCACTGGGATAAAACTTGGACTTATGTTTAAAATATTTTACTTTCTTGAAAATTTTTAATTTTTAAGGACTTACATTAAATTTATAGCATCATTTAAAATAAGGTATAGTCCCTTAACCAACCTAAACAACATTAAAAGAAATTTTCTATTTGTCTATTTTAATTTTTTTCTGTGTGGGCGAAGGGAAAGTTGGGGGCAGAGGTCATCACCCGGCGGACTCATGCTCAGCGGACTCGTGTCCAGACGTTAGGGGAAAACACAGCATGCACATATTTGTATAAACATTCATTACGAACTTGCATGGCTTCACTCTGTTTGCTCCTCGTGAATTTGCTTTGACGCCTGAACAAAGCGCCGTATGCTTAATGTTGACATTGCTAACACTCCCAACTGGATGGCCAACTAACGAGGCCTTAAAACGAGTCAAATGGCCTCATTGCGCACTTGAGTTACCCCAGCAACGGCTTTTGAGTCAACTCCCGCCGTTGAGCTCTTGCTCATTCCATTTTCAGTCGCATTTCCCGGCGATTATGCCATAACATTTCCATGCAAATATGATTCAATTTATTTCCTTGCTTGTCTGCTTGTTTCAGAATTCAATTTAGATTTCGCATATGATTCGTTTTCTGGCAGTGCCCTTAGTGCCCTTAGTGCCCTTAGTGCCCTTTGCATCGTCGGCAGCAGTGGTAATTCCCAGCTATCATCGTCTGTCTGGCTGTGTTACTACTTTGACGGTGATATCTACTTCTTTACCCTCAAGAAAAAATATATATTTTCAGTGTTAAACTTATTTTGTAATTATTCTACAAGAAATAAGTATAAGCTGAAAGCGCCCACAATTAAACATTTAATGTTAATTTCCAGAAAACAGCAAAATACACATTTATGTAATATTTTGCTTTCTGAAATTCATAGTAGTTTAAAATCTATTAAAAAAAAAGAATTTATATTTTTTACTTTCTATCGCACTAAATTTATTAGCAAATTATGAATACATTTTTTTTAAGTGTATGACTTCGGATGTGTAAACTGCGCTTAACATCTTTATCGTGCCTTTGTTTCAGGCCGTAAACCTTTATGTCTAGTTTTTCAGGTGGTCACGTTGAATAGACGTGGCCACTGAGATTGTCGTTAAAGTAAAATATGCCGTCATATTCGCCATTCTGTCGCAGGTCGATTGCATCTTCTGGCAGAAAAACCATCCAAACTCACCTGAATTGGGTAACTTTTAATAGCCGTTGAGATATTAAAGCCCTGTGACTCAGTAAACTTCAGTACTAACTAAATACAACTTAACTTATGGATTTTCCGTTTAACCTTGACGTGTCAAAGGCCACCTCCTTCCGTTGTGATGAGAACATTTTATAGGTAACTTGCGTGTCGAAAACGAAAGTAAAATATACGATTTTTCGTTAAGAACGGGAAAAGGAATAACATTAAATGCGAAGCCTAAAAGTAGGCACATATCTTAGCTCACACATACACAGACTTTATTTTGGTTCCAGTTCATAATTACTTGCCAGCTCCCAAACAGAGCAGCAGTACTGAAACTTAAAGATGCCAGATAAAAATTAGTTTTAAGAGGCCATAAAAGTGGGTCATTGCCTCCAAATATAAACAAACTTGAACTGGATGTCCCAGTTTTATGTTCTGCCATAGATTTTACGGCTCGGCGGGATGTGATAAGAAGAAATTTCGCCACATGCGAGGGCGGTCAAGGTCGTAAAGTGAAACAAGAGCTGAGGGATGTATCCCAAGGTGCACGACCGCAGTCCTATAAATAGAATTTGAATTTATGTGGCCTTTAACAAGCTTTCTTCCCTTCCTCTTACAGATGATTAAGATGATGCTAACGGTTGTGATTGTATTTACCAGCTGCTGGCTTCCCTTCAATATTTTGCAGGTGGGTACACAGTCAAAGGAAGATATTATTATATTTATATTTCGAATTTTTAATTCTATGAAACGGCATTTTTTGCGATCGCATATATATAGTAACGTATCCATAGCATACAAACCACACTATTAAAATATTCACACAATAAGCCACTTGGAGTCACCCTTAAGTCACCCTTGCAAAAAAAAATCCTTAATCGAAGGCCAAGCGGAAAGTCCCCAGCATTAGTCAAGATCACACTTTTAAAGGCAATCAAAACTCGGCTTCCAGACGCATACTCCAATTTTATAAATAAAATCGTTTATAAAAGGGAGCGCTTGTATTCAAGAGTGAATGATGCACTTGAAGCCAAGAGAAATTAAATTCCATTCAATAAAAAGCGAAAGTTCCTTCAGTTTTTCTTTACTAAAGCTCACAAGAAACCAATCAATATTAAGCAAGCTAAAACACAAGCTGGTAAAGAAAAAATGAAAGTAAATAAATTTAAAAAAAGAGTACTTTTAAAAATACTGATAAAGTACGCATCAACTAGGATATATCTGCACCCTAGTACTCTTGGTCAGCTATTTAAAAGTGTCAGTGATCTACGAGAGAGATGCGCAAATTACACTACGTGTTACCGTGAAGCCCCACTAATATAAGTCCTACGTTTAGTCACAAAAACCATTAAAAATACAAATTCTAAAAACAACCAACACAATGGCAGTTCCACAACTCTCGGAATTTCATTAGAACCAATTGTGGATCAAATCAAGGAGTATAAGGCAAAATAGGCATAATTATAGAACCTCGTGGTGCTATGGATATGTCACTATATATCTAAATTGTTTACAAGTTATTCAATAAATTTCGATAAGTATAGAACGCATCAAACATCAAATTGCTATTTAATAGTCATATTTTATATGGTTAAAAAAATTTTTTTGACGATACTGTAATATCAAAAGCAGAAAACATGAATAAGAAATAAGTAGTAATTTAAAACTCTAGCCCGTTGTAACATTTAGAAGTAATATTTAGGTAGTAAGATTTTCAAATGATTATTATATAATAAAATTCGGAACTTTCTCCCGATAGCTTTTGCTGAACGACGAGGAGTTCACGCGCTGGGTGCCGCTGCCGTACGTGTGGTTCGCGTTCCACTGGCTGGCCATGTCGCACAGCTGCTACAACCCGATCATCTACTGCTACATGAACGCCCGCTTCAGGGGCGGATTCATTCAGATAATGCACCGGGTGCCGGGCCTGCGTCGCTGCTGCTGCGTGAACCGCTTCCTGCGGAGCGGCGGCGAACGCAGCTACGAACCTACCGGTGAGATGCAAGTCAAGTACCAACGCCAAGTCGGTGATGGTCTAGTCAGGAAACCCAAAATACGCATTAGGTGCTACCCCTCTTCTCTTAGTACATCCGTATTGATTGTTTCTTTGAATCTCTGAGTGTGTAGAGCGTCGCCGGAAGCCTGTTGCTCCCGATCTGGAATTTTTAGCCAGTAGTAGCCGTAGTTTGTTCTGTTCTTCTTAAGCCTTGCATGCCATTCAATTTGCACGCAAACAATTGCGCATGATCTGCACCACCGGCATTTTCCCGTTTACTAAGTCTCAATTTGGCAGCATTTTCTAATATTCTTAATTCGTTTTCACGCACCACCGGTGGAACCAAAGGAACGGCCACAGCATTCCATCTTCAACGTATGAACACATGCAACACCTACATCAGCACCCGTCGAAAGTTACGAGCGAATTCTACGCAAGTGGTAAGTAAAGTTTATGGGTTCAGATTTTGACTCTTCAAGGATCTGAACTGGATCTGTACATACAGGCTTAAAAAAAGGATAGCCTTATGGAATAGACTTCGTATTAATATGCATTAAATTAAAATTTTTTGAACTTTTTAAAAATGTAAACAAAAATATTCCTTTTAACTAAGATATCCTCTTTTATTATTCGGCATTATCATTTGCCAAACACAGGGCTGGCATTTTTATGTTGAATTCTATAATCAATTTTCTAACTCCATTCTATTAAGATTATATTTATCTTTCTTCCCCATTATTTCCCGAAAACTAGAACCGATCTTCGTGTGCCGAGACGTCAGCCCTGCGGTAGCTGCCAGTTCAGCAGCGGAATCACCTGCCCAGCGAGCGGCAAATGTTGGTCCAGATAAAGTAATTGGCAACAGCGCGGAGTTTTAAATCGAAGAATAACCATTACCAAAGAACGAATCTCCCACAGACACCTGTCTGCTAAGTCTATATGTGTGAGTGTGTGAGTGTCCGAGTGTTTTACCTGTGTTTTAAGTGTCCACTCAATGTAATTTTACTGAATGTATGTTAAAGGTAATCATTTAAAAGTATATATGTAAAATATTCACAAAAAAATAAGTGATCGTAATGAGCAAGTTCAAATAAAGCCCCGAAGTATGCAATGCAAATTTTAATATCTTAGCTTTCACACATAAAATGTAGCCTACATTTGAGCTAAGAACTCAGTGGAGAAGCGTTTACCATTTATTGCACCACCATCAAGAAAAGTGCAAAAGACACCAGTATAATTGATCTAAACCTATGCCTAACTTAGTTACAAATGGGTAGAAAAATCACTTGACTGTTCCTGTTTCAATTGGTTATTCGTTGAGCATATCCATCACCAAATGCGGCATTTGGGCTGGTTGGGATTCATGGCAGATCCTCTGGCGCACTTGAAGGTCCTGGCAAATTCGTCGGAGTTCGAGAGAACACCTCGTAATCGCATCTGACCGGGACAATGTGAATCACTGAGGGCATAGCGCGAAGCTGCCGGCGTATAGGTCTCGCACCACAAGTTCCCAAATGAGATGAAGAACAGCTGCTCGTGGGAATAGTGCTCCAATCCGGGCAACTTGGTCCGCTCACGGCCCATTTCCTTCACGAAGAGGCGGTACGCGTAGAAGGCCTCGCGCATTCCGCCGTTGTCCGCAATGTTCTCACCCAACGTTAACTCGCCATCGATCTGCGGGTTGTGGGATAAAAGCACCCATGTAAGTATGTACTCAATACAAAGATATGAAAAAATTATATACATATATACAATGAAAAATAAAATGAATAAATAAATAACTTGGGTCGTTTAACTTTAAGTAATATGAAACAATTTTAAATTGTGAGCAACAATATATTAAAACTTTAATGATATTTCATATAGGACAATCAATTTTACTGAATCAGCATACTGGGCTGTTTTCATTGTTTATTAACAGTAAAGTTTAGTTTTAATACAAGTCTTTCAAAGATTAGCTTTTTGCTAGCAAAGAAACTGTACTGTCGAAACCACACACAATTGTTAGAATGCAACATACTCACATATTCATCAATATCCGCAAGGTGGTATCGGGAGTACTGCTCCACAAAGCACTCGGTTCGGTTCACATACTCGTCGATGGTCCGGTTGGACCACCATTCGACCATATTTCCAAAGCGGTCGAACCTCCTGCCGCTGTCATCGAAGCCGTGCGTGAGTTCGTGGCCCAGGATTGTGCCAATTGAGCCATAATTGAGCGCCCTGCCGAGGACACAGACGCAACATGGGAGGTTAGGGCCATTCCGGGAAGGGATTAGTGCAAGGTGCGAATGCGAGGGTGGAAACGTGCCCATGGCCCTGTTTGCCGGCTATCTCTGTGCTCAGTGCTCAGTGCTCAGTGCTATTCCTGGACGGACTTACTCTAGACCAAGGTCGTAAAACGGGTATTGCAAAATGGCAATGGGCACAGCTGCAAAATAAGATAGTGTCAGGATTAAGGACTTCACACGCTTATATTGGTTTTACTCAGAAAAAGTTCTCTGAAGTTCAAAGAATCGTCAAACTCAAATTAAAATCTAAACTATTGTACACAATGCGACTATCATTTGGAAGTCATCAATTATTAGTTGGTATTAACCTCTGTTTCTCAAAACGACTAAATAATTTAAACAAAAACTTAACATGAGCCCCATAAACTAGTTCTTGTATTTGTTAGCTTTTACGGTTGTATAATTTAAGAATATGACGATACTCCTCACTTTTAGTACTTTTTATTACAGTGTACTTACTGATTGCATTTGATTGAAAAGTGTGGAAGGCATTCACGTTCGAAGGCGATGTCGCCCAGCCAATGGGCTCCGGCTTATCCATTTCGTTCAGCTTGTCCATCATCTGCCAGTGGACAAAGTCCATGAGGTTCTCCAGGTGGGTGCTGACATTTACCTCAGCCCCCTCATAATAGGCATTCAGTACGGTGGCATTTCGAAGCCAGGGCGGAAATCCAATGAAGCTCTTCATTTCGGCTGACTTTTGGATAGTCCTCCGCTTGGTGGCCGCATCCATCCAGGAGGTGGACTTCACTAGTCGATCGAATGACCGCCGAATATCGCTCAGCATCCGCTCCACTCGAGGCAGCTTATTCCTGATGAACTCCTCGTCCGCCAGGACATAGCTCACAGCCATTCCAAACAAACTGTTCACACCATTAGCGCAGTAAAGGGATCGCGGAGTGCTGCCCTCCGTTCCAATGGCCACCCTCATGTATTCCGAGTGGAGCAGCCGCATCGCGCTCGATGTGTGCAGCACCAGCTCCTCGATGGTGCTCAGCCACAAATAGGACTCGATATGTGAGGCTGGAGTATCTTCCAGATACTCCACCACATGCTGCAGATACATAATGTCCGCCTGGCTGGTTATTATTGTCAAGTTCGTGGTCATTTGGACATTGCCCGCATGGCGAGTGCCCTTCAGGATCAGCTCCATGTAGCGCACCCAAATGGGCAGTGTCTTGGGGGCAATATTTTTGTCTGTTTGATTCTGCAAATCCAAAAGAGAAATGTAGATGATGTCATCCGCCGGGTTCTTTGAGGGCTTAGTCATGTTCTCGGCTTCCTCTTTTAACTGTGGGTAATTTTTTGGAAATTTGTATTACTTATTTTACGTATTAATATACCCACCTCGTGCACTTTTCTTGCTACTCTAACACCCTGTTTGACCAGCTCGGTGATGCCAAGGGTGGCCTCCTCCTGGTTTACATTCGGATCCACATAGAGCAAATACTTCTCGATGACTTTTCGGACGTAGTGAAGGTAGGCCGCCATTCCTGTGCTGGTTTGCTTGGCTTCCTCCTCCTCCTCGCTTTCCCGATCCTGCTCGCTGTCGTCCTCATCATCGCTGTTTTGCATGAAAATCGTTTTCCGATGTATCTTACGGAGTAACTTGTGGGAGTCATCATTGTTGCTGAACGTAAAAGGAAAATACTTATCATTAAATCATAAATAACGTCTGATTTATCGTGTGAATAACTTGGTATTTTATAAATATGATTCATACAATTTAATTTATCTACTCACAAAGGGAATGCCGAGTCAGTCTCCGGAGTTCCCAAGGCAATACGATTGATGGAGCGGTTGAAGGGATCCGGAAATACATCGAAGCCTATGATCAGGTCCATGCTCAGGTGTTGTTTGATGGCCACAATAGACTGCAGCCAGTTGTAGCTGGCATTAGCTGACTTTGTTGCAAATTTGGAACCACTTCCTAGGGTGAGATTCAAAGCCGTGGGCAGAACGGGCAGTCCAAAACGCGCTATATATCCAACAAGAGGCTCCAGATCCCGCGTGTCCAGGAGCTTCGTATCCATACAGGCCCTGTACATAGTTTTGGCCTTGCCCACAGCCTCTGGCTCCGATTTGGTGATGTTTGAGCGCAGGAATTCCCTCACCAAGCGCATTATGTGCGCCTTGACGCTCCCGGAACCAATCGTTCGAAGTCACGGAGTCGGGACGCGGATGCTCGTTGGCCCACCTGCCGCAGGTGAATTTGTAAAAGTCCTCGCAGGGATCAGTCTGCTCGTCCATCGCATAGATGAGGCTGGCCGCTGTGCGGATGCACTCCTTGCTCCGACAAATCGAGCTGGATTTCTTAACTGGAATCAGGAAAGAAGGTAAGTACAAAATACAATACTTCCTAAAAGTATAACTACAATTGTTTCTAGAAATTTAAAATTACTAAAGTAAAAACACTTTAATTTATGTAAAAAATGCATAATTAATTTAGTTTGAAATTAAATTTCTGGATTATTGAATTTCTGGATTATTTAACTACTCACGGCTTAGGCTTACGATTATGATTGCTATCAACAGAATGATTACTAGGGCCAATAGTCCGCCCAGGACCACTTTGTGGTAATAACTGCGACGAAACCTAGGTGCAGAAATTGACAGATATTAGAGCAATGGGAAAAGTTGATGGTGGTCCACTCACTTGGATTGTATGCCAATTAGATTCGGAGATATGGGCTCGTAAGGCATCTGCTTCCCATTCGAGCTCTCCGTTGCAGAATTCTGTCCATGTCCATTGGCAGTTGCATTTCCATTGGCACTGCCATCAGTTCGAATGGGTGCCGATAGAAGACTAAGGTTACCTGTAATTGGTGTTTAAAAATCATTGATGACTTGGAGAATGCGTCCTAATTGGTCTCTGCCCAAGCTCAATTAGATTTGAGAAATGGATTTCAATCAAAGACAGCTGTGCAGAGACACACGTTTTATTAACACTAATTAGTCTATTGTAGTCAATTGTGTTTGCCCAACCAACGCAAACCACCCATATCCACCCCATCCGTCATCCGTTGTTCGTGTATTCCATTTTATCTTGATCTGGCGCAATTTTCTGTCCCTGTCGTCATCGGTCAGGTGAGCCCTCTCCACTGGGTGTCCCTAATCGCCTGGCTAATGCATACACCTGTCACAGCCAAAGTCCTGTGACTGCGGAACTGCATGGCCATGTACATAGTCACTGAAAAGAAGCGTTAGACACCGGTGACAACGTCCGGTTCAATGGCCTCAAAACATTTCGCGTGTCCGGCAGCAGTTTAAAATATCAAACCCCAGTTAAACACATCTTTGATTTGCAAGCGAAATTAGGACAGATAATGTTCGTTTAGTCAAACAACTAACACAAGTAATATACTTTTTTAAATAGAAGATAATAATTAGGACTGGCCTTGTTTATAGTTTATTGCTTCAAAATATTAATACAAAATTAAATACAAAATAATAAGAATTATTTTAAATTTATTTGAGAAATCAAACTTCAAATTCTAACTTTATTTGACTACAACTTGAATGATACAAATTTACTTTGCCATTACCCAAAAAAATTTAATTGATTAATTTGGTTTCAGAAAAGGGTTAAATAAATTAGAAGTTATTCGGCGTCTATAGGTTTTAATAAAAGTCAATATATGTATATAGGCAAAAGGGTTCATACTATCTTAAACGTGTAGCCTTCAGTGCGTTGTCAGATGTTATTGGTAGGCAGTATATATTTGTATATTACAAAATTCAAAAAATACAAAACACAAAATGTTTCGTTCTTTTTCCGTACTAATGTTCAACACCTCCGAAACCGAAGCAAACCTCTTTGGCATGGCCGACGATGTGTACAACACTATCGAAATATTCAAGGAGGCGGCCAGATTCGAGGCTAAGATCGCTAGACCTTTTAAAATGGTGTCCAACATTATAGACTGTTTGGTGTTCATGGCTGTGGCTCTAATCGTCGTGGCTTTTATCATGCACGATCGTATTGTGGTCTTCAGAAAATTGGCCAAAATCAGTCGCCAGAGAAGCCAAAAGGTTGCGGTGAAAGAAAAGAAGATTCCAACCCCAAGAAAAGTATCCAGTACTTCCCATCCTAAAAGTTGTAATGAAAATGATGAGGAACCAGCAGAAGATGACGGAAACAGCATCAGAACAGGAGTAGATGACGAGGACGCCATCACCCTACAACCCAGTGACCATGGAGAAATTAGGGAAAACACCATGGTCGGAACTCCTAAATGGGCCTTCAACTGGCTGTCCACATTAAGAAATAAAGATTTTGGATCGATTTACGATGGCTGGTTCCGGTAGCTTACAAATACACCTTATACATTGTAAAGTTGTCCGGTAGTTCGATCGGTGTGATTGCTTACGGATCTTTGCGGTGAACGATTTGAATTAGTTATTGAGCGCTTTCAATAACCACAAATTGCCTTATTACCCTATAGAAATATGAACATGCACTTAGTACGTGAACATGACTCATGAAATTAAGAATTTAATAAAGAAGCATTTTCATAAAAATTGATTTGTGGATATTTTCCTTCTTAAGTTAAATCAAATTCAAAACACACGGAAAATGTAGCTAATTTGGTTTTCTCAAGCATTACATTAAATATTACTAGCTAATTATCTTATTTTTTGTATATTTCACAAAAGATACCTTTTTTTTTATATTTTCATTTATATGAACTATTGTGAAATTTAAAGACAGAAAGTCTAAAGGTTTTTAAGTTAGGCAAAGCGGAAGTACTATTAGAAACAATTTTTAGGAAACACTTGCGGTTTGTTTGAACACACGTGGGCTGTGCAAATAACCGAACGAAAAGAAAATCTATTTTAAAAACTATTTTAAGAAGAGCAATACAATTGGATATTAATTATTTCAATGTATATTTTATAAATACATTCATACACATAAAACACATACCCGGTGTCTGCAATCTCTGGAGAGGTAGGGTCTGCTGCTGCAGATTATCGCTGAAGAAGCCATGGTTTATATTGCCCGTGGTCCAGATGCGGTTGCGATCCTCCATTGCATGAGTCAATCCAGTTCCGAGATTAATGCATATTCCATGTGATTTTTCTGCTAATTTTACACTTAGTACTGGTGATTTTCCTAGGCACTCCAGGGCATATTAATGAGCTGCCGATAAGCTTCGTACAAATGCACGTCACAGCGCCCACATGTTGCGCTGACACAGGGAACAGTTCGATGCAGAGTGGGTACAGCTGAACAGTTTATCGTTTGCTCATTACTCGAAATGTTTTTTTTCTCCTACTGCCAACAGCAGGCAGTTGCATAATTTGGCATTATGTGAGGCCAAAACGAAAGCTGGAGAACTGCACTGTAGAACTCTGGAAAAATCGACTCGAAGTGGAGCCAGTGCAACGGGCGACTGGTCTGAAACAGCGACTACCGGCGATTTGGAGCCCGGGCGTCGTCAACAGAACGTATTTATACGGCGCCGATACCTGCGCCAGCAACCGAATAACAACAATACGGCTGGCAATAGCAATAATACTACCAACAAACAAATCAGGCAACCCCCATTAACTCCTTCAGCCATGCAAATGTGCTGCGGCAATTACCAGCCCCCAAAGCGACCCACTCGCCCGATTCCATTCCCACCGAAAAATGTCGGCACTGTCTGACTGTCCTGCATGTTGTCCGTATTGTTGTTTGTTCTATCCTATCTATTTTACAAAGGGTCGATTGGTTCCCTTTAAAAGTAAAACAAATGATGGCCAAATCAGAAATGGTTTCTTTATACTAAAGCGGTTGTACCAAAAAGTCATGATTGCTCAAAATGAAAACATATTTTATTTTCTATACTACACATTTGTTAATAATGTAAATAGTATAAGCTTATATCCCACTTTACAGCTTAAGTATGGCAATCGCGACCAGTGTGCATTCTTGTCAAATCTGTATAAAAAAAGTTTTTAAAACAGCTGTCGAACGTTTATTGCAAGTGGTGATTATGTATTAAAAGTATTACATTTCTGCAGCTTCGTCATGGCATTTCACTACTGTTATTCAAACCCTCTATTAATCCATTTATCACAAAGCGCTTTTAAGTTAATTGCAATCCTTTTAAATGCGTGTTGAGTCATAGAACAATGAAAAGCCTTGGTTCATCACAAGTTTCCATTCACTTCATGACAAATTCCCAATATTCCCGAGGTACCCAGTGTTCGGATACCAAGTTCTAAATTGTTTTCACAGTGAATCAGTATAGAACACGAACGGACGGGAAGTGACCACAATCCGTGGTGTGGATCCAGTGGCGTAATGAGAAAAAGTACATAACAATTGGAACCCAAACTCTATATATATTTAATACGCGGGGAAAGATATATGGATAGTTGCTAATTGATATGGACTATGGTGTGTGGCTATTGGGAGGTGCATGATTGATGACCCTGGGCAATGCCACATCGATCAGGACACGACACTAGTTTTTGGCCAAACGGAAAGGATACCTAATAATAGTAATTAAATGGTGGCACTCTGCCCGACCACGAGGAATCCACAAGCATTCGCATTGTTCGCCCTAACTTTGACATAGTTTATTGTGCCTGTGAATCGATAACTAGTATTGATTTATACATGTGCCACCTCAAGGCACATCGCGCATACGCCCCGCTGTCAAAATGAAACTCCAAAACAATCCAGTGCATGTTATTCTTGTTCCGGCGGAAGCCAGCCCTTGGGAATGTGTTTACACTCACTAGGGTGTAATTGGTTTGCGCTTCGGGGCGAACCAAGTTATTGTTAATAAGCAAATAAATTGTCCACCAGGTACTCGCTGAAGGGTTCAAAGAACTTTACTTTGCTGGCATGTACTTGCATTCATTTATTATACATTATCTCATTTTTAACATACATTTTTAGATGGTATTTTTTGTCCTTTTTTTTTGTATTATATTCTAGCATGCACTTCTAGCTTACACATCAAACGAGGAAGCCAAAAACGGATATATGACACAAATATGTTTACAGTGAGTTGATTTAAAATTCTATATTATTATGCACATAAGTCTAAGCGTGGATTCTGCATTCACGAGCAGATTATAATTGTATTTTGTGTGCGTGGAAGAACTACAAAAGTACAGATTATAATATGAAACAACGACCCCTGGACAGTTTGGCCTGCAATTCTGTGGTGGGCGAAACTTGATGCTGCAAAGAGAAAAAGGAATACAATAAATATTTCTGATCTACTTAGCATGGTGCCAATGTCAAATTCAGTTGTGTATCGATTTAATCTGGACTCAGTCTTAAAAATCAATTTCTTAGAGTCACAGGAAACGCTCTTGCAATAAATTTGAATTCGTTAAAAAGTATACGCCGAGAAACTTTATTTTTACGATTTGCCAATTGTTTGTTGTTATATCTCATACTGATGGATCGCGTGGTTGGCAATTTGGAGAACAAGTTCAAGTGTTTGGTGAAGGCAGAGGGAAAGGAAATGGCCCTCAAGTTGGTGGGATTCTACGCCGTCGGCTGGACCCTCCGCAAGTTGGTCAAGTGAAGGGCTCGCATTCAAACCCTTTCTCAACCAGTTGACTGTCAGTCGTTTCAATTTTGTCCCCCTTTAAAAATTTAATGTACAAATAAATTGTGGTCTTACCTCAAATAAGTTTCAGAAGGGCACACTTGCAGCAGGAAGGGATCTTAAATGCCTGCTGCACCACGTCCAGTTTGCCCTCGTTCTCAATGCTGGCTAGATTTTGCAGCACATAGTGCTGCCTGCAAATGGGCTTGTAATTATTAGCAAAGTTGGAGGCGTAATCGCAGGGTAGATCGGCTCCTCTGGGGAATTACGAAAGGATAAGAGTTAGACAAGTTATGGTTCATTTTCCACTAAAAATGTTTTTTTCTTTGTTTTAAAGATCATCATTCATGATCAAAGATCTTATATCTCCATAAATTTTCTGGTACGTCAAAATGTATTGTGAATCAAAACAAATACAAAATTTCATGTTTTAGTTTTTTTCTAGAAATTCTTATTTTTTTGACCACCAAATGATTTAAATTTAAATTATTTTAAAATAGCCATAGCTTTTGTAGGTTTCAAGTTCATTTAACTCACTCGCACTCCTCGAACTGAATGCCCTGCTTGAACTCCTCGTTATTGACGATCAACTGCCAGGTGTTGTCGGCCCTTAAGCCCTTTTTCGGGTACATAATTCTCCGGCTGGATTTGCAGAGATACTCCTCCTCATTGGTGGATCCCACGCGTGCACTCACGTCAGTAGGCTGGAGGTCGTCGAGGAAAAACTTGGCAAACTTGGTCTCCAGCTTCGTTTTCAGGGCGGTCAGGTCCGGATAGTTGTCCACCTGACTGCAAAAGGACTTGACCTCTTCGTTGCTATCCTTTCCACAGGGCCGGTGGCCAGCGGTAGCGGTCGCATTTTCCAGAGGCTTTGAAGGCGGCCAATACTTGCCTGAGGAATCGGGGAAGACAATGGCTAAAATTAGGCAAGCGCCAAAGGCAGTTGGCCAGTGAGTATGGGATCGATTTAGTAGTTAGTTTTAAAGCATGTAAGAGTTTCTAATGTAACTGAGCATATATAATCTATGGCATACAGGTACTTACTGTCCGAGGGTCGTCGGTGCTGGGCGGGCTGGTCCGCTTGCACTGTTTCCGGTTTTGTCCCCTGCAAATAGACGAACGTATCGTTAAATACCAGATTCAGCTTTCCGTCCGGGGAGCGCTGCACTTTGAAGTATTGATCTGGCTGGCTCAGGCTGTGATACTGATGGTAATGGTGTTTCGGTTCGGGGATCGGGGACTGATTCTGGGGCGGATCGCCAGGCTTTGTGGGTATGGGCATGAAGGGTGCACTGTCAGCAGTCGTTGTCTGTGCAGGTAAAATTTAATCGTGTTAGTCTTGAAGCTTATGGCAAAAAAGTGGCACAAAGACAACACAACAAAGATCAAATGAGCGTTGAAATGGGGATGCAGAAGAGGATGGAGGAAAAAAGAAGTGCGAATTCGCCTTTGTCCCAGGGTCAAAAAGATCACCGTTTAATAGAATTTTAATCTGATCAAGGTCGGTTATTTAAATTAAAGGCAATTTAAGCAATCTTTTGATACACTTACATTCCAAACGGTAAGACCCGGATCATCACTCACTACAAAGGTTTTTCTGATGCTTTCTTCAATTTGATCGGCCCCGTGCTGAAGTAAAAACGTCGAAATAAAAAAGACAAGACGAAAGGCTTTAGTCTCGGTTCGGAAAGGATGACCACACAGATACAAGATTTGGGATTCGGGATAGGAGAACAAGTGGATTAGTTTAGTGACACCCTGGGACAAAGCGTTCAAACCTCTTTCGCTGTTGATTCAACACCGTTTACCTTCTGGGAATCCATCTCACGTAAAATTAACCTTAACATTGTCACTTCCGATGCTGCGTTATTTGCCGACGTTTCGGCAAGGTGTCGCTTCGACATTTCGCAACTGATTAAAACTATCTGAAAGATACAGGTGAGAGTTTTGTTTGCGGTTCATCAACATTGCCAAGACAACGGGGTATGAAGTCGTAGGACGGTGTTTGTTTGTTTGTCACTCGGACTCGCTCTGCCTGCCCTGTCTCTTTATTGCCGGCACTACATTTGCGTTTTCGAAAGGTTTGAACAGCTGTTTCTTGGGCAGGCGCAGTTTTTCTCTCACCTTCGGTTCAGTAGTTGAGACCCGAACCTCAAGATAGCAGCCGCTAGAGCCCAAAATCTGAGCTGATAATTTTGTTATAGACAGAAGCAAGTAAGAACGATTTAATGATGATGGTAAAAAATGAAATATATATAAAAGCGAGCGATCCTAAATATAAAATAACGAGCATGACCATAAATACAATAACAAAATTTCCTAGTTCAACAACGGATGCACCGATAACCTCAATACTATTAAAAATAGAATAACAGATAAGTCTGCGTCTTAATTAACATGCATAAAATAAATGGCATTAAAAATAATCTTTATTATTATTTCAAAAAATATTAAAACTTGAAAATCAACATTTCTTTCTCTTTGTTCTTTAATCTAAAATAACAAACGAAATTGGTACTTGCCAATCGTTTACAAAAAAAACGATATTTAGTGTCAAGCGATATTAAATCGACTGCCTGAGAGTTTTTAAGATTTCCCGGAATTGTTTTTTCCCCAGCCATTAACCAAGCTATTAATCGCTTTCATCAGGGATTTGGGTTGAGGCAAATAAGTCAAACATTAGATAAGTTTTCCATCCCAGGTTTAGGTTTTCCATGAACCCATTGGAACTTGGTAAAAACTAAAAATGATCTATAGAACCGGTTCGGTGTGGAATTCGTGGAAAACCTGAAAGACGGACTTTCTAACATTCTATGTGCAACTTTCAATTTATATTATTATTTCGTTTTAATTGATGTTCTTACAGAGTGATCATCCCTTTTGTCGGCAGTAAATTACCTCAGAAGTCGTGTGCAGAATGTCTGGCGTTTTTGATGTCAATTAATATTATTGCAATGCCGTTAATATGCATTCATTATATGGAGAATAAAAATTGCACATAACTTGCCGTTCGCAATGCAAACAGGTTTTCAATCCCTGACTAAATATAAACTTGATAATGCCCTTCGGGTTATTGAAATTTTTGTACAGCTACAAAAAACCTAAAGTGATACGGATCGAAAAAAAATTTTTTTAGGGAATAGCCCATAGCATCAAATTTGTTGCAATGATATGAGAGTTGGGTGAAGCAGACAGAATGTAACACAAAACAGAAACAACAGGAGCACAGTCGAACTTTCATAACCAGATCAACATGTGAAATAGAAACAAAACAATATTATTTAGATACTCGTATGTGTGACAAGGAACGGCTTGAGGTTCTACAAGATTATGCACTTATCAAGTTTTGGACTTTTACATTTTTTAAAAATTCTACTCAAATTCGAGTTATGTATGTTCGACTATTTGAGATTTCGGAAAAGAGTACTTACCGCAGTGATCAAGGCGAAGATCAGCACCATGATTTTTAATAACGTTTGCCACATAGGTGTCATCGTGTCCGATGTCGAGGTAATCAAATTTGTATATAACTATATATATTCTATGACGGCGACCGTCTGCGTCGTGGATTAATGTTATTATACAGAAGGAGATTGGCGGATCGTTAGCGGCTTATACCAATTTTCTTATTTCTACCACTTTGTTTTTATATCACCGTTGTTGTTGATCTTTTTTATGGGCTTTGTGTATATAAAAAATAAACAAACTGACACGACTAAATGTTAATGCCGGGCTTTTATATTGGTAGCGGTTACTGTTTCCGTTGCCGTAGTTGTCAACAGTGGATATTTATTTATAAATATTTTGTGGCTCTTTGTGATATGCTGTCTATTCCGTTTTATTTGTTTCCTTTGCACGTTTGCGAGACTCAGGCAGACACTTCAATTAGTCGGTTTGCTTTTCACTTTAGTTTCGCTCTCTCGCCACTTTAATGGAACCGTTTTTGGCAGGTCGCTGGTGAAATGTCTCGATTTTGTTTTGTATTATTGGGCACTGATTAAGGCTTCCGTTATCCAAGTTGGTTATTCCCAGATGGCTTGATCTTGGACTTTTCGGTTCTGTGCGTCGGCTTGGAGTGACACGAAAATTGCGGGGCCCTGCGCTTTTATGGACCTGAAACTGTATGCCACCGATCTGCAATTGAGTCTTATAGCGCGCGCTGGGATTTTCCTATCGGATCAAGAGGCTTTAAGTTAATTCGGTTTCGATTTCTGCGATCGAGAACACACGACAGCGAGAGCGGGCGATTGGGAGGCAACTGAACTGCCCGGAGAGTTTCGACTCTGACGGCTCCCCAAACATTGACAAGTGCAGCTTTAAACGAAGCTTGCCAGAGTGCGAGCGAGAGAGGGCGCTGGGAGAGAGCGAGACGGTGAGCCGGAGAGGGGGTAGGGGTGGTCGAGATGGATGGAGAGAGCGATGGAGCGGTGTAGCGCAATGCGGGAGGAAGCGAGAGATTGGATTGTGTGACAACTGACTTGCCGACAAACTTAAACATATTGAATCATTTTGCACTTAGAGAAAACATTCTCTCAAATAGGATAAAAAATAATATTTAAAAAAACACGTTGTGAATCAGGCTTTAATAGGAGCCTGATTCAAAACGTGTGTTATATTAAAAATATTATTCTTTATCCTCTTTGAGAGAATGGTTTCTCTAAGTGCATGATGATTAAAAATGTTTAATTATAATTATGTTTTATTATACCAAACAAAAATTAAACAAATTCAAAACTTAAAGTCGAAATCTTCTTGCCCTAAGAAATACTGTAGTCTAAAAATAAGTAAAGTATACATAACTTTGAATAGTTCTAACAAAAATCGGACCAACTCGGTCCGATAAGAACACCCTTTAACATCCTCTTTTTATAAAAATAGTTGTTTTTTTTAGCTTAAAGATTGTATTTGTTCATAGCAAACATTTGTTTATCAATTTTAATAATTTCAACACATATGAATAACCGTTGCCGTTTAAAAATTAAACAAATTCAAAACTTAAAGTCGAAATCTTCTTGCCCTAAGAAATACTGTAGTCTAAAAATAAGTAAAGTATACATAACTTTGAATAGTTCTAAAATAAAAATCGGACCAACTCGGTCCGATAAGAACACCCTTTAACATCCTCTTTTTATAAAAATAGTTGTTTTTTTTAGCTTAAAGATTGTATTTGTTCATAGCAAACATTTGTTTATCAATTTTAATAATTTCAACACATATGAATAACCGTTGCCGTTTATGTTATATACAAAAATATACTATCAGTAAAGTTTAAAAACTCTGCGTTAAATTATATATGATTATAGCTCTGCCGAACTTTAGACATGGAAGTCAAGGATCAGCTGATAGCATGTTTCCTTCAGAGTTTTAAGCTTGTGTTAGACATTTTGAGCGACAGCAAAACAATCTTGATTTGGTTTTCTTGTTACTCACCGTTCTTAAAAAATCGCTATCAGTGGATGTCATAAGTGCACTTTCGTGCATTTTATTTTCTTTAATTAAAAATTAAGGTTTCAAAAACAAACTAATTAATAGAATATTTATGATTGGAATTCCCAAGAATCTTAGCTTTATGTTAATTATACATAGGTATTGAAGTTCGAATGGCCATACAACTGTTCTATTTAACACCAATTAAAAATAGCCACTATATTCTATCTGTAATTTAGAAACCAATTACAGATAGAATATAGTGGCTTTTTTTCAGTTTGATCATTTCATTAATATAAGTTTCAATCGTAGTATTAACTGAATTTCAAATGTCGCTTTCTTATTTAAATAAACAAATAATAAGTAAACAATGCCCTTCCTTAAATGTGTATTTTTTAAAATTAAATATATATTTAAATATTGTACCTATTTGTAATATATTATAATTTGTTTTTATTTATTTTTGTTAAAATTTTTTAAAGCGCACACAATATTATTGCCGACACTTCTGAGGTAAGTCTAGCACTTGAAGGGCACCCCTTATTTGGCTAAGCCGGTGTTTTTACCCGCAAACACCTGTTGGTGCTGAAAGTAAAAGTAAAGCCGGTCCAAAGCTCCCATCAAAGCTCTAAGAGCTCACCTGCTCTCAGCACCACTACCACTAATACTAATACTATCTCTTCGATAGCATCCGTCTAATATATTATGTATTCCGGACAGGTGCCGCACACGTCAGTTCCGTCGGCGCACGCGTCATGCGAGTCACAGATCCAATGCGCTATAATTAGTGATATTGTATCTGCCATCAAGAGTGCAAAGTTGTTGGGAAAGACGGTGACTCAATTGGCATTTCCGAGAACCCCGGACAAAAAACCGCAGCTTAAAATCGCGCACTGCCAATATTTGCCATGTAACAGGCATATGACGCAGTCGTATGAATGCATTTTTTTTGTTTAGTGGTTTATGGTCCATCAGACAAAATGTCATTCGCTCAGGAAACCTTGAACTTGCCTTCACAATATGTTGGTGCTTTTTCTACAAATAGAGATATCTCCCCCTTGGCATTATTAGCTGATATAAAGCGTTTTCGCAGAACTATAGTTGCACCAGAAATTCATGAGAATTTAATTTATCAATAAATACGAGTAAATACAAAATAAAAATGCAATAAAGGGTAATTGTAAAGTTTAAATGGATATGCGTGGGTTGCAATCTTAATGGTTTCATCACACATTTTTTATAGCTCATTCTAGAACACAAAATATATTTTATGTTTGTATTTGCTTCTCACATCAATTGAGTGGATACAAGCTCAGCTGTATGGTTACTTTTAAATATCACATTGTTTCATAATATTTTTGGAAACTTTTTGCATACTTTAGGGCCCGAAAAAATTTTGATGCCTATTTGTAGGCCAATTTTAAAAACATTAAATAAAGCTATCTTGAAAACCGCTTTTTATGATACAAGCTACATTTTTTTTAAATTTAACTATAAGTTGGTATTTATCTTGCCATAAACGGAGTGAGTAAACGGAACTGTTTAAAGAACATATAATTAGTCATAACCATTGAGTTTGTCTGTAAAAGTTGTACAGTTTAGTTCAATAATTTATTGGAAAAGGTCAAGTATTTTCACAATGTTTTGCAATAGTTCCAAAGCTGCTTGCAATTAGTTGAATTTAAAAAAAAAATAAATTTTATCACCAACAGTAGCTTCTTTTTTAATTTCAGCATAACCTTTGATTTAATACAGTCAACACAATATTTATTCGGACACCCGTGATTTTGAATTTGATTCATTAATAACTCAACAAAAACGTAACGAAAACAAACAATTTATATTTCATCGTGAAGGTTAACATTCTTAGAATATATTTTAACAAAAAAATAAGGAACTTTCAACAGTAAAATTAGATATTTTCTTAAATGAACTTGAAAAGTCATAATTTTACGCACAAAATTATTCGTACACTTCATATAATATTAATGAAAAACATATTTCTTGATGTTTTAATATTTTTAATATTTGGTGGGTCCTCCACTAACATCAATGACAGCTTGTAAGCGTCGACCCATGCTTTTACCAAATTGCTTGTCTCATTAGCGCTAATTTGACCCCATTTAGCCATCAATGCAGTTTTTAAGGACTCCCTGGACGAAATGACGTGCTTCCGAATCCTTTTCTCAAGAATATCTCACACATGTTCTATGGGATTTAAATCAGGTGACTGGGGAGGTGTTTTCAGCTGCTTGCAGTGATATAAAAGCCACTCTTGCACAAAAGACGAAGAATGTTGTCTTGTTGAAACAATATATATCACTTGGAATCAAATTTTCGCTTAAAATGTTTTTGTACATATTTTTATTAATTTTGTCGTCAATAAAGACCATTTGACCGACTTCTCCTACCGATACACACCCCCAAATCATTACATTCCCGCCACCATGCTAAACAGTTGGAATTAAGTTCTTCTCATTCATGGCTTCATTTGGTTTCCTCCACACTTTCAAGGGCCCATAGTGTCCAAATATGTAAAATTTGGATTCGTCGCTATAAACTACGTTCTCCCAAAACGAATCCGGGTGGTTATATGCAGTTTTCCAAACTCCAAACGCTTTTTTTGTTGATGGCAGAAATTAATTGCTTTCGACGAGCAATTCTGCCATGTAAACCAGCCTTGTACAGGTAGTTTCGGATGGTTTGGGCTCAAACTTTTTTATTTTCGCTTGATGTACATTCTTTTGAATTGTTGTAGATGTTGTTTTCGGATTTTTCAGGACTGTAGACATAAATTTCCGTCCCTCACGTGAATACAGAATCTTAGACCTTCTAGCTTTCTTGTGATTTGAAGCTCATTATTCCGTTTTTAAGTATTTTTGGATTATACTATGTATTGTGGAAGGTGATTTTCCATTAATACGACCGATTTCGCGATAACTACGATTTTCCAAAATTAATTTAAGATAGATTTTCGAAAATCTAGTGACAAATCTTTAACTCCTTCCATTTTGACCAATCGTATCAAAAAACACATAAAAACTAACAAAAACAAAAAAGCACGCCGAAAATTACTCCGAAGTAATTTCAACTAAACTACTTTAAAAAGAATCGCCGATTACCGTTGAGTTCAGAAATAAACACAATAAATGAGAAATGTACGAATAATTTTTGTGCAACATTTTAGCAATTTTTTTGCTTTTCTTTCAATATTTGTAAGGCTAATTTAAAAAATTAAATTTTTGTTTGTGTAATGTCTTCTGAAAATCACTCTTTCTATGATACGTACAAAAAAACCTGCTAAAATTACGAATATTTCGGCAAATATGCTGTTAAACTTGATAATAGACAGTGTCTGAATAAATTTTGTGCTGACTGTATGTACTCAGTAATTGGCAGACTGTGCGTGTCTTTAGACACTACTATAGTACTATAGTACTTCAGGTCGCAGATTAGGTAACATTAGCTACTCTAATATCCTCCAAAACAAAAGAGACATTAATTTATATAAGGTCCCAAAAGAAAAATGCGTAAGGGACAAGGTGAATGAGCTGCCATTTTGCTAACGACTTTATCCATTTAACCTAATAGTTATTAATCGGGAAGGAAACAGCTTTATTCCGGGCACACTAATCGATGTGGCACCTCGTCGGGCAACTTGTAATCTGGAATGTAATTTGGGAATTGGCCAATCAAGTGAGGATGGCCCAAAAGTCAGGGCAAGTCAAGCGAGCCAACTCCCGGGTCAAGTTAACGTGAAAATGGTGAAATACGCTTAATGACAGCTTGCTCATGCATGTGTGTCCAAGTGGTTATATCTCGGTGTGTGTCCGACTGAATAA